CACGGAGAGCTCTGAGCAAGGTTCCCCACATTCGGGGAGCGACTCTAGCACAAATAATGGTAAAAAATAAAGGCATTGACTCAGCAGGAGGGAAAGGAGAACAAGTGGAAGAGCAACTCTACTCTGGAGAGCTGCAGGGAGAATCTGACGTACAAAGCAGAAGAGAAATAAGGCCAAAATTTTTCAGATGGAAAAATCTGTCTGCGTTTTGGATAGCTTCTTTCTGACAGCCCGACTGTCAGAAAGCTGCTGAGCACCCATCCTCGAAAAACGAGCCTCACACAGTGTCCAGTTATTTTTGGCCCCAAACAAACAAAAGAGATACTTTTTACTCAGAACTCCTTTCCAGCTGCCTCTGCCTCACAGCGTACGGGCTTCTGCCAGTCCTCTCCCCCCAGATTTTTGGTCTCCAAATCTCTGCTGCTTGAAGGTGTAGTTCCCAATACTACAGCTTCCTTTCCCAGGCAAAATTAATGCTTAAAGCAACACAGATCTAAACACGTAATTAAACCTCCCTCTAGCCCACCTCCAACCAAACTTACTTTTAGAGTTCAATTAACCTCTGAGGTTGTTGCTTGGAATTACAGGTCTCCTTAGAAATGCCAGAACGACTGCTGCCAGGAGGAAGAAGGCCCATTTGTTCTACAGGCGTCAGGGTAGGGGGGGTTGTCTTAACCTGCAGTGGTTCTTGTCTAGCTGAGACGTTCCCAGGAAAAAATGAGTAACCTTTTGGCATTTTTCTCCCTCCTTCCTAGGAAATGGAGGAAGCGTTATCTCATCGTCCTCAGGTGTTTTGTTCTTGTATTTTGAGCCCCCAAACCTAAGTGCGTTATTAAAGCACTGCCTATTTCAGAGGCTTTCTCCCGGACTGGATGAACTCTGGTGGCTGGTGTATTCCAGCTCCTTTGTGCATTTAGTTATCTCTAAATGTCCCTCTGGGAATCTGGTCCAGGGGCTAATCATTTTCCATTAAGACTCAGGGATTCACTTCTCCCTGCCCTCCCCACCCAAGCAAAAATAGAAATATCAAACTCCTCAACCCTAGATCCAGCAGTAACCCCTTTGCAACTCTAACCTGCAACCGCCTCTCCTCGGTCTCACTGCTCTGCGGCTGCTGCGCTCTGCCGGATCTGCAGCACGGTTCCAGCGTTCATCTCCCTGCCCGGGGAAATGAAAACATATAGCATGTATCAGGACCTGCTCCTTGTCGGGAAAGAGGCGGAGGGGCTGCTCTTTGCCACCGGGTACACATTAAACTGCTGTTTAAGCCTCTCTCCTGTTTCTGGAGAGCCACCGTGCTGTGGGAGGTTTGGGCTGCTCCATTCTTCTACTTTGGTTATCATCTGTCATTTCTTTTACACCTGACACCATGTGGCTTAGAGAAATCACTCTGGGCCCAATAAATTACAGAAGGGAGCCTCCTGATACTGTTTTTTTTTTCTTTTCCTGCCCCTCTTCATTCATTTCCTGTCTCTAAAGCTAAGCAACCAAATCCCACAGGGTTGACGGGCAAGCAAAGAGCAGTTACAAACGGCAGGAGAAGGGGATCTTTCCAAGCAGGAGGCAAAGTAAGGAGAGAAGGAGTCCCCAGCCATCTAACCGGAGAAGAGGCCTGCCTGCTTGCTTTCCTCTTAGGCTCCATTACACAGGAAATCAAAGGAAAATCGGAATTTATATAGCCAGGGATCTGCATCCCTTCAGGAAACAGTTCATCTGCTGCTTCTCGGGGGCAGGACTTGGAGGTTTGTCAACACCTGCTCTGAAGGCTCTGACAGGTTATGTCAGCACTAGGCTTTTCTCCCCATTTCCCTTGCAACCGTGCCCTGGGTGCACCTGCGGGAGCAGTGGCAGCAGGACAGACCGAGCGGCTGCCCACCCCTCGTGCACAAGGCTGCTGCACCCTGTTCTCCTTCACTGTCACTCCACTAAAGGAATTGCGGCAGGGAGATGCTTACGGCAACAAGCTGTAGGCAGCACTACCAAATCCCTGTCACTGGGGAATTAGATCCCACGTATCATGGTCCCTCTCTTGCCCCCTGCCCTTCCCCGCAGTGCTGCAGCTCCCTTCCGTGTCCTCTGTGCGCTGGGCTGGACAAGCGGCAGCACGCGCTGGTTGGGAGCAACGCGCGTGCTGCTTGGCCAGCTGGCTGCTGCTGCTCCTCCAGATGGATGTGAGGTGGCCACGACGGCCGTGTCCACCAGCGGGACGCTAAGTTGGGTTTCTTTCTGCTCCATCCAGCTGCACATCGTCAGGTAACTGGTAGGAACTTCATATCGATGAAGTTGCTCGCAATTTTGGTGGAGATCGACTGAGAGTTTTGGAAGTGATCGGCAGGGGGGCAGGATGACAGAAAAACAGTAGGATATTTCCTTAGGAAAACAAGATAAAAATGCCAGTGTGGAAGGGCTGGTGGAAATCTTGTTTCCATCACCTACAAATTCCTTGATTCTGGAGAGCCTCCCCCACCCCCTTCCCATACTCTCCAATTTGCTACAAGTTCTAACACGAACAGCTTCTGCTGGGAATAGCTGACTGTGCCAAAATATGAGAGTTGCTGTTCCTACGCTGTCCTCCCCTCCCTAGATTAGCACATTTCAGCTACTGACATTTCCCAGAAAAAAAACCTGAAGTTGCTTCGAGTTTGCTAAGCATTCTGCTCGTTTTTGTTCTGCGAGGACCTTTGTGTGAGAGCCAGATCTTTGCTATTCACAAGCCCATCTGCTTCTGCTGCTTTTCTTCACCTGAAGTTAAAATGCTCTGTTCAAGATATTGCTCGTAGTTGTGTTGGGAACTGCAAAGAGCAGGTGAGGACTTCAGGAGGTAACTGAGCAGCATGAAGAGAAGAATACAAATCTGCTCTTGTCTAAATAGTCCTAGAAATAATTTTTTTAAAAAAAGAATAAGATGATACAGGAAATTCCAAAAAGCCAATGAGAGTTTCAGCAGCACAGTCATTCCAGGGAGCGTTTTCTTCATGTTTTTATGAGAATTTGAACATTTAGAATCAAAACAGAAGGGAAGAAACGCAAGAGCGCCAAAGACTGTATCCCTGAAATTACACTATTCCCTCTGGTCCCCGCATTTTAAAGTCTCTAGAAGCAGTTACAAGAGTCTACTTCGCCCAAACCTGTAGTGCTGTCGTGAGCTGTTTAGTTCATAATTCTCCATGCTGTTTAACTCAGGGCCTCATGTTTCTAGGGGTAAGGGGGGGCCTTGGGAGTTAAAAAGAGATTGGAAACCTCTGTCTGCCCATACTGCCTTCAGCGGGGTGCGCGGAGGCTGCCCTCAAGTCCAGGTCTGCTGTCCTTACAGCCTGAGCCTGCAAGCATGGCTGCAGGAGGGACCGGAGAGGGCTCGCCGGAGTCTTACGCGCTTGAACACCGTCAGCAGCCTCGTACGCTGTGCGACGTGCCTGGGCAGGCTGCTGCAGACATCCACGGGCTCTGCGTGCGGCAGCTGCATGGATGGGAGGCAGGCAGGTTGAGGAGCACGCTGTGCTCACAGACACCTATGCAGATAGAGCAAATACGGGTACGAGACCCACGCTTCCTTTCTGCCACAGCTTCTGTGCATGGCTCAGCCGGCACCTGACAGGGATCAGCAGAGGATGGATGGCTGGGGCGGTCACTCTTTGCTCCCAGCTGGTGCTTCCTGTCCACACAGCTTCCAGTGCTGGTGCACGGCTTGGAACAGAAACCAGAAACCACTTCTGCTTCTGGCCCCTCTGAGAGTTAGTGCAAGTTAGACCAGCCCAAAGAGAGGAACTGAACTGCCCCCGACCACATCACAGCGGGAAACAGAAGTGACCAAAGTATCTTTGCTCCCACCCTGTGCTGGGTTCCACACCACAAGTTGCTAATTTGGGCCAAGAACTGGCTAAAGGAACGGAGCAGCAACAGCGTTTGTGATGGTCTCCACGCTGTGCCGTTAGCTTTGAAAGGGTCAGCCTGCTCACAGAGACATTTGCCATTCTGTGAGGCAGAGCAGATGTGGCATTTTACAGAACACACGCACACTGGAATTTCACGCTACGTGTAGGGGCGAAGACTGCAAAGGAGCAATAAGTAGTGGAAGGTGGGGAGGATGTGAGATCGGAGCGAGGAAGAGCCCTGCACGGGTTCCAGCCGACCCTGCTGTGCTACTGGATCACTGTTTATCTCCTGCACCAGTTCAGGACCAGAAATCTGCCCAGCTTAAAGAGAAACATGCTGTCCCAGTTGGCAGCTTCCTGGCTCTGTCGTACCAGCTCAGCACAGCTTGCACAGATCATGTCCCAAGTCTTGAGGCTACTGAGAAAGGAGGCTGCGAGTTCCCCAGAAAGGAGGAGCTTGTCGGGGTAGCTCCTCTGCTCTGATCTGCAACCCGTGGAGAACACCTCCTTCCCTCTGCAACGCCAATATCCCCTCTTCAAAAGATGAGTGGGCTTGGACTATTTGAGGACTTTGTGGGAATTGGGTGCAGTGCACAGGAAGATCTGAGGACCTCAGAGCTGCTCAAAAGTACTGAATCAAGTGTTGGCTCAGCTTCTGATGGCTTATAGCAGTGGGTAAGGGCACCTGCATCTCTGAGAACTGCAAGGGCTTCATTCCAAACTTCCAGGCCTTAGGTGGGCACCGAAGCAAACAGTTTGATTTTCAAAGACACTCTCACAAGCGCTAGCAAGGCACTGGGCTGTTCTGAAAGCCTAATCCTTAGTGCGAGAAGGGAAAAAGACTGAAATCACACTTTGTACCAAGTTCCTGTCTCATTCACTCCCAGGGAATCTTCTCTTTCAGCCTAACTGTTCCTCTGAATAGTTGTATTTAACACTCAGGGGGGTTGGATCAGGTCCTTGCAGCACACATGCT